TCCTCCATCCGCTCGCGAAAGCGTTCCCACTCCTCGCGCGACTCGCGCTCGTGCCGCCTTTGGCGCTCTGCCTCGTGCTCGAACTCCCGCCGCAGGCGCTGCAGCCGATCCTCCTCCCGCCGGGGACGGCGCTCCTCTTCCCCTTCATCCTCCTCCTCTTCGGTCTTCGCCCCCCTGGGCGCCTGCTTCCGGCGCGCCTCCACCTCTCTGGCCACCTGCTTCGCCGCCGTAACAGGCGCGCCTTTCTCTTCCACCTCCTCGCCCGAGGAGTAATACTCGTACGAGGAGTCCTCTGCAGCTGATGCACCGTGTTTCACCGCGCTCTGCGACGCGCTCTTGGCTTTCGCGCCAGGCACCAGCGGCGCCTGAAACACACCAGCCTTTTTCAGAGCCTCGTACTCAGCGAGAAACCGCTCTTCGTTCTCTGCAAGTTTCCGCGACTTGCGCGCCTTTTTCAACTCGGCAGCGTGCTCTTCCATGGCCAGGGTGTTAAAAAGCAATAAGCTATACTCTGTCTGTGACTTACTTATGTATATATGATTTATATATCTATATACAGCACATATGTGCTCGCCACTGACGAGTCACAAGTATAGAAATGCATATGTACATGCTAAGTTCAGTGCCAGGGAGTTAGTATAGTCTACAGCGGCAGAGATGTAATTCCAAAGTGGTGCCGTGCTTCATCTCTTGTTTCCCGGTCTGTGAGTTCTGCCGTGTCCGCATGTCTCTGTGCATGTGTGTGTGTGTGTGTGTGTGTGTGTGTCAGTGTGTGTGTGTGTGTGTGTGTGTGTCTTGGCCCCGGGGCGCTTGCACTGTACATGAGAGCGATGAGAAAGCGGCGCCGGTCATATACTCCAACTCAAGTGCATCACGCGTGATGAAATCCTTCTTGGGAAGTGCACCTGGATGGGGTATAATAAAATCGTTGCTGGGAGGTGCTTGTGCTGTTCTGAAGCAACCATGCAATCAACCTGTCAGGCAGGGGTACATATAAGTCGTTGCTGGGGCGTGCTTGCACTGTTCTGAAGCAACCTGTTCGCCTGGCTTGGGGCATCTTGCGGTGCGCCTGCAGCAACCAAACCTGGCAGCCACGATTATGGGGTAAAGTTGTCGTCCCGCCAGGATTGGGGTAAAGAGTCAACCAAACAACCTGTCAGCCAGGCTTCGGGCTAAGTCGATGTTGCAACAACGACGTTGTATACCTCCCATGGAAGGTGCTTGCGCATGTTCTGAAGCAACCAAGCAACCTGTCAGCCAGGATGCGGGGTAAAGTCATTTTGAGCAGGTTCTCGCGCGCTGCAGAAGCTGCCGTGCAGCGGGAACAAACTCCATTCTACACGAATTTTGGTTTGGTAGGACATGAATCTTAATAAAATCATAAGGTGCACCTCCGAAATTCTATAGTGCACATACCAAATATTGTTGGCTTAAAGCCTAGATCATAACCACTATAACCCTCTACATAACCCTTTACATAAACCCTTCCATAACCACTTATGTAACCATTTATGATAACCACTTGACAACCCTTTACTAACCTCCATAACCCCTATAAGTCACTAGCTAAAACCCGGTCCATTAAAGTAACTCTTGGTTAACTCTGCTTTCACTGAAGTCTTTGCAACCGAGGCTTTCGAAGGCAACCGTTTTGGCAAGCTGGGCTGTTCGCAATCGTGGCGGACTTTGCATAACACCATTTGCAGGATGGAACAAAGCATTGCGGTCGGACCCTCGGACAGCGGTAACGCAGTGTGCTCTTGTCCTGTCCAACTCCTGCGATCAACCCGTCTCTGGCCTAACTTTTTATGTCATTGAACTCTTTCGTTCTCGGCTGCTGTGGTTGGACTCTTCTCTTGCCCAATTTTTGTGGATCGACCCTTCCGTTTCCATACTTCTGTGGCTAGATTTTCCATTGCCCGACTTGCGGGGTTAGACTCTGGACAGACGTCACGGGCGGGAGCGTTTTTGATCCAACATAAATCGGTGGGCCCGTCTCTGGCCTAGCTTTTTATGTCATTGAACTCTTTCGTTCTCGGCTGCTGTGGTTGGACTCTTCTCTTGCCCAACTTTTGTGGATCGACCCTTTCGTTTTCGTACTTCTGTGGCTAGACTCTTCTATTGCCCGACTTGCGGGGTTAGACTCTGGACAGACGTCACGGGCGGGAGCGTTTTTGATCCAACATAAATCGGTGGGGCGTGCGTGGATGTCGTACAACTTAAAACTATTATTGCCGAAGATTATACAAAACTAAAAGCACTAACATAAACTCAAGTTGTGAGCCCACCGTTTTGGTTTTAGAACCACCCTCAAACCTTCCCTGCACAGACACGAGGGGCATGACAGGAACAGGCGCCTCACCGTCTTGGTTTTAGGACCACCCTTAAACCCTCAGTGTAACAGACAGGAAGGTCATGACAGGAACAGGAGCCCCGCCGTTTTGATTTTAGGACCACCCTTAAACAGACACGAAGATCCGGACAGGAACGGGCGCCCCACCGTTTTGGTTTTAGGACCACCCTGAAACCCTCACTGCACGGACACAAAAGTCATGCAACTTCTGTGGATGGACTCTTTCGTTTTGCGGAGGTCAGCGACGTCTTCGCAGAAGCCTCGAGATTCTAACATTGCAGTCGGACGCTCGGATAGTAATAACTCTTCTCTTGTCCAACTCTTATGTAGTTAGACTCTATGCTCGGTGAAGACGGCGCGATGCACACGATCTCAGCTGCCATCACCCCTGCCGAGTTGTACGGCGAAGTGGCCTTGGTCCGCAAGGGCGGCTAGAGTCGGCGGCCAGACCGCAATGTCTGGCGGCGTGTGAATAGTTTCAGTCCTTCCGTCAGCAATGTACTGCTGATCGCTTCGGGATTACAGTCCTCGCCCGCTCGCAAAGAAAAGTCCGACTCTGCTTGCTGTCCTTGCAACCGCACGCAACCTGTTGCATGGCCGTCACAACTTTGACACGAATGCCGCAGCCGGAACTGCTGTCCATAGCTCTCTCACGCGTCGACCGGGTTTCCTCTTCGCCATGGCTGTGCCTCCGCCGGCTGATCCCATCGATCCCGGACGCGGATGGGCCTTGCGCCTCAAATGGAACCCCTTCTGTTTCGACGGAGGTCATCCTTGCCTCGGACGGCTCGACAGCCCGTGCGCCTGTGGACCTGCCGGCGGCGCCCTCCCTGCTGTGGACGCCGAGTCGCAACAATGCAACTTTTGCGACTTGCCCATTCTGCAGACTCTCTACGGCGACCGGCAGGACGGCGTCCTGACCCACTTGCTCCTGGCTCTCGACGACCCTGGCCGGCGGGCGGCGCTGGCGCGCATCGAGGACGCTGTGGGCGCTGCCGCCCGCTCCGACATGGAGGCGCGCTGCGCGCGGGCCTGGCGCCGCCGGGATCCGGCGCGCCCGCGGCGTGGGCCTCGCGGACCGTATCACCGCGGCGTGGACTAGGATGGCTACAAGACTGTCGCTGCAACAGGCTGCTGCCGGCCCTGACTCCGGGGTCCCGTCTGAGCTGGATCCTAGGGACGCGCGCTTGTCTTGCGAGCACCTTCTCATGTCTCAGTAGAAATGTCTCTGGACGCCGCGACAGATACCAGCTGTGCAGCGGGTTTTCCCGTGTGTCTCACCGTCCGACTTCAGCGCTGCTCGTGAAAGAAGTGCGTGCAGCGCTCCCATGCACTCGGCCTGGCCGGCTCCGGGTATAACGGACTTGGATGTGCCCTACTTGGATAGGTGAGCTTTTGCAAGCTTTTCCGACTCAGACGCCCCATACCAACTCGCTGGCCGCCAAGAACGGCGAATGGGGAGCATGGCCGTGAAGCGCTGCAGGAAGGGAAACCGTTTTCGCAGGCTGGGCTGCTGGCAATCGTGGCGCAGTTTGTAGAACAGTAATGGCAGGATGGAACGGAAACCTTTGCGGTCGCACCCTCGGACAGCAGTAACGGTGTGTGCTCTTTTCTTCCCAACTCCTGCAGTCAGACGCTTCTCTGGCCCATTTTTTTTGGTGGCGGAAGTGGACGACGACGCCGCAAGAGCCTGGAGCCTCTGTGGTTCTTGCACGGAAGTCTTTGCAGCCGAGGCCTTCGAATGGAACACCATCTGGCAGGCTAGGCTGGTCGCAACCGCGGAGCAGTCCGCATGACACCATCGACAGGATGAAACGGGAACCATCGCGGTCGCACCCTCGGACAGCAGTAACGGTGTGTGCTCTTGTCTTGTCAACTCTTGCGGTCAGACTCTTCTCTGACACGACTTTATGTGGTTAGACTCTATATCCGCGTCGATATATTGGGAGTCAGGCACGGATGCATGCAGATGCGGATTTTGGCTGGAAACAGCTGCAGCCGCTCGATAGGTGAGACTTTACTGGCATGGCAGACTCTTCCATTGGCCGACTTGTGGGGTTAGACTCTGGACAGACGTCACGGGCGGGAGCGTTTTTGATCCAACATAAATCGGTGGGGCGTGCATGGATGTCATACAGCCTGAAACTATTACCGCCGAACCCACCGTTTCGGTTTTAGGACCACCTTCAACATCTCACTGCACGGACAGGAGGGGCATGACAGGAACAGGCGCCCCACCGTTGTGGTTTTAGGACCGCTCAACCTTTCTGGATGGACCCGCTCGTTTGCGTACTTTTGCGACTATACTCTTCTCTTGCGCGACTTGCGTGGTTAGGCTCTTCTCTGTCTCCACTGTGCAAATGCAAGCAGTCGCTGCAGCACCAGGGGCGCGGCAGCAACATTCCTCTGTTTGCGCGGCAGGTAGCCGTCGTTCGCCAAAAGGACGGCACAGACAAGGCCGGGGTTGCTTGGGCGGATGTCGGAGTGTGTGCATGTAACGGATGGCCCGCGAGCACAGTGAGGTGCCTCTGCGTAGTGCATGCTTCATATCCGCATGGACACGTTGGAGGTCAGCCACAGATGCGTGCAAGGTGGCACTTTCGGCTGAAAGCAGCTGCAGCCGCTCGGTTAGTCAGACTTCGCGGACATGGCGCCCAAGCCGGCGCAAGAGAACAAGGCAGATCTGTGGAACCCTGCCGGCTTCGACATGCCCGAAGGGGTACTGCTCGCACACATGAGGTTGCCGCCTGCACGCAGAAGGGACTTGGCGACCATGGGCGGGGACGTTTGGGAGCGCCGCCTGACGGTGCCCCCCGACGGCTTGTGCATGCTGTACACATTTCTGGCAGCATGCGATCCCCCGACGTGGAGTCGACTACACAGAAGCGAGTTGGGCTTCATCGAGGACGTCGTGGCCGAGCAGAATTACAAGGAGGCTGCGCAGAACATATTGACGCACATCCTGATGCTGCTCCGCACACAAGACAAACACAGGCTGGCAGCTCGTCTCGAAGCCGGAGGACATCCAGGCCAGGAACCGGAATGAACTTGCATACTGGTCGACTAGGAACCCGCTGTCTGTGTAATGTCTATAAGGCTGCAAGGGTGACGCGCTTTTTTTGACTCTACCTACTTGTCAGGCGACCAGGAACTCGGCGCCTACAGCGAAGCCTTTGGATGCGCTATATTGGTGACATCGACAGACCCGGAGGCTTTTCCTGTGATTCACGGGCAAGGCCCGGTCGGTTTCGAGGTGGAACACTGCCTGACTGTCGACGGCGCCGGTCACGGAGCCGGGCATTTCGAACTTGTGCGCAGCTGGCTTCCGGCAGATTGGCTTCAACGAAGGGGCTTCCCTGCAGAAGCTTCGAGCGACGAAAGGTCCCCTGAAGGAGCCGTGGCCAACTTGCCAGTCGCCGCAAGCGCATCGTGCAGTGTGTCGCCTCAGGCGGTCACCGCCTCCGAGTTTGCGGCTGCACGGCGCCGCCCGCTCGGAGATGCTGCAGCTCTGCAACATGATCCGCCGCCAGCCAAACAGCAGTCGGCAAAAAGAAGCAGGAAGAACAGAGGAGACCAGAAGCGGACGTTGTGCCCTGTGGAAGGATGTTGCTTCCACACCAGAAGACTGGGAACGGCAGCGCAAATTCTGCCAGGTGCCGGAACATGCATGTTCTGCGGCCAGGACGCTTGCGTCAAGGCAGCCAGCACCCCGCGTGGCAGAGGCAACATGACACGTAGCTTGAAGATCTTCTACCTGCATCAAGATGCGAATCCCGAGGTTTACAACCAAGCCATGGCACATGTGGCCCGCTTTGCACCGGACCTCGTGGAAGATTTGCGGCGAAAAGCTCGTTTGCCAAAACGCTCCGCGCGATTGCCTGCAGAGACCCGGCACAAAAGGGCCGCAGTCATGGCCCAGCAATGGGAGACATGCAAGGCAGTACGGCAGCCGGCTCTCGACCTGAGAGGGGCACAAGCCACGAAAGAGTACCGGAGCGGAGTGCTTGCCGATCAGCGGTGGGCAACAAAGAACTTTTACCCCGACGCTCCTCGTCGCCCTCGTGCCTCTGGCGACGCCTTGTCTGCCCTCGTGGACAATGACTGCGACTTGCCGCCCGCGTTCACTTCTGCACGCGCAATCGGCTTGCAACAATGGTGCCGCGAGGGGGCATGGGGCATGTGCCCAAACCCGGAGTGCAATCTTCTGCAGCCCCGCAGGCTTAGGGAGAAAGACTTGACCGCGCCTGCCGCAACTCCCTGGATCGCCGCATCTGCGTGTCGCAGGTGTGCGCGAACAAAGAGGCAGCTGATTGTTCCGCGCCCGCAGGACGTGCCGACGGCACTTCGCGATTTGGACCCTCTGGTGATCAAGGCTCTGCGGCCATTGGACATCGACGTTGGGCCAGAAGTTCGGGCAGGCACCGGCGGGTACAGGAAGAAGGTGCGCATGATCACCTTCTCATGGTGCCTCCAGAGCGTGGATGCCAAGATCCGGGCGCTGCCCTCCAAACATCTACGCCGCAGTGCCAACAACGCTTTCAGATACTTGCTGTCGATCCGGGAGGACAACGAATATCCCGAGTACTACTCCAGGCATCGCGCCTTCCTAGCCAAACACCGGGAAGCGCCGACCCCAGAACAAGCCAGGAGGTCGTTGCATTTCATCGAGCAGCCGGGCTTGGAGACGGCTCTTTGGCCACATTTGTACTGGCGGACGTCCATGTGCGAGTCGTTCGAACGATTGAACACTCGTCGGCTGCAGCAGCTGCGAGGAAAAAGCGCTGCCGAGAGACCAGACACTGAGGGCTATGACTCTCCGGACGAACAGGAGGCCGTCGAGCTCGATGACAGCGACGCCGAGGCCCATCCAGAAGCAAAGCAGTCCATCAAGAGATCCTTCCAAACCAAAGTTTTCAGTCCTTTGCTGGGATACAACTCCGACTATGAGCTCTTGCAATACGTGTTTGATCTCCACTTGTGGACGGACTTAGGAAGCAAACGCAATCGTGCAGGTGACACCAGGATGCGCTTCATGATGAAGGGCCACCCCATGTCACCTTTGTATTGGGAAAATTTGAAGTTTGGACTCTTCGATTTGGTCCGGGAGCTCGGGTTTCCAGATGTATACTGGACGTTGGCTCCCTGGGAGCCCAGTTATCCGTATCATACCTTCATGCTCGACGAGATGCAGAAGCTCTTGTGTACTCGAACCAAGCTGCCAGCTCTGGAGGCCATGCACCTCGCACACACTATGCTCGACACGTGTCGGTTTTATTTGGCCGGGCATGGACGAGTGAAGCAAAAGGCCTGGACACAGCATCTTCTCGGAAGCCAGCAACCTGGGAAAGACGGCAACAACTGCATCTCTTTTTTCAGTCGCATCGAATATCAAGACGGATCGAAGAAAGAGGGGACTCAGCGGTACCACGGCAGTGGCAGGCCGCATGTTCACGCCCTGTTCTGGCTGAAAGACAAGGCCACAGCAGAGTTGGAGAACAGCATGGCCGCAACTCTGGATTTGCCACCGGAACAGGAAGCCTTCAAAGCTTTGGTGCACGGGTCGCAGAGAGACTGGAGCGGGGAGAGCCGCTGGCCGGTGCACGCAGGTCCATCGGAATTTGACCCGATCTCCGGACAGCTACATCTGCATCATACTCAAGAAGACGCCGCGGAAGGCGTCCGCGGACATTTTGTCGCGATACTAGACGCACTTCGCTGTCATCAAGATGCACAAGTGCAGCAGGGAAGAGGCCTACTTTTGAGCTACGTGACGAAGTACGTTGCCAAGTGGAGCGACAGCTCCTACAACGAATGGATGTCAGACGCGGCGAGCGTCACCAGCCTATGCCGCAAGGTGCTCTTCGAGTACCACCCGAAGGAACCGGAGCTGGCGCTGCAGCTCCTGGGAGGAGGATTGTTTCGCCAATGGGACTTTGGCACAGTACATCGCGGCGTGCGGTCGCTGCGGGCACCGCGGCCAAGCAGTCCTGAACAACCTCTTTTCGTGGACCAGTACATGACCTCTACCTGGCGGCGAGACAACATGTCGCTCTTCGAGTTCCTCCGTAAGTCCAACAGTTCTACGGGCGCCGTGGCAGGATGGCTACAAAAGCTTTGGAAAGCAAGCTCTCGCAACCTGAGCCTGGAGGAGTTTGCGAACCGCCACCGGATGCAAGGCGAGCAAGTGGTGGCGGCCGAGTTTCTGTGGCGACTCAACGACCAATTCTACGGGCAGTGGTGCATGATGCACATTCCCTTCCGGTCCCCGAAGAAGTTCGCAGTCAAGAACGTTCTCGAGAAGGTGCCCGCGAGATACCAATGGCTTGCTACAGCAGTGGTTCTGACTGATGATGCCCGCGCATCGTCCCAGGACCTCGTGGGGTATTGGCGTGATCCAAGCCGCATCGCGCAAGACATGCAACACGAGGCGCATTCTGATGGCTTCATTCAGGACGTCCTTGCATTCGTCGAAGCACAAGTTTTGGCTATCGACCGATACTTGGCCGGTCAATTGGATCGAAGGGAAGAGCAAGCGACAGGTGCGGCACAACAAGCACCGCAACGAGGTCTGCCGGCATCGCTGTTCCAAGGCAAGCAAGCCGTATTGCGGCAGCTCGTCCAAAAGCGGGTGGATCTGGCCATGCAAGCAACCGCCAGTGCAGAGGAAGAGACCTGGGAGCGTCTGCGCGCGGAGGCCAGCCGAAAAGGGCATCGGCCCATTGTCTGCTCCGGTCGTCCTGGCACCGGCAAAACCACTGTTCTTCACCGCAAAGTGCACGACACTTTGGCAGCCGGTGGGTCCGTGCTGGTAACCATCCCGACGGCAAGGCAATCAACCCGCATGGCTGAAAAACTGGGGTCGCACGAGTTGCTGGTTGTGGAGACATCGGCAGCAGCCTTTCAATTTCACAAACCCGAACAGGAAGTGATGTACGCCATGCACGGGTTTGCGTTGGTCATCGTCGACGAGTTTTCCCAACTATCACAAGAGCAGTTTGAACGGATTCTGCACATGTGGTGCGCGGCAGACAACTTCCCCGCCTTGATTTTTGCCGGCGACAAGTACCAACTCCCAGGCATCGAACCAACGCGCCCATGGGACAGTCCCGCATGGAAGAGCGACACGCTCTACTTCTTGGAGCTGACGGAGGTGTGGCGCACAACCGACAAGAGCTTCTTGGAAACGTTGGATCTGCTCCGCACCTGCATGCCAACATCCCGAGAGCTGCAGAAGATCTGTCGAGGCCACAAAGCATGGGTCGGGCAGGATCCGACCGTCGCAGACGTCAAGCGACTTCTGCGGGACCACCCGCGCGCAGTGTGGGTGGCGGCCACTAAACGAGGAGTGGCGCAGATCAACCAGCTTGCTTTGGAGGCCCTGCACCCACGCGCAGAACCAGTAGTGACGTTACCAGGTGCCTTCGAAGACAACCCCGACAACTACAAGAAGGACGGCACGCTCGTGGACGACCAGCATCTGGTCACAGCCGATGTTCCCATCCACCAAGGACTGAAGCTTTATCTCACCAGGAACGTACGCAAAGCCGACGATTATGTCAATGGCATGCAATGCAAAGTCTTGTCTGTCGACATGGAGCGCAAGATCTTGTGGGTACGAACAGAGACCGGCAAGCGGTTGCCCATCACCCCATGGCACGATCCAGATCACTCAGGGCTCGTGTACTACCCGATCAGGCTTGGGTTCTGCACCACGGTGCACAAAGTCCAGGGCGACGAATTCGATTTCATCATTGTGTACTTGGACACCGCAGGCATGCCCGCCGTTGGGTATACAGCTCTCAGCCGCGTGCGCAACGCACGCTCCTATCTGCTGGGGGGCATGCTGACGCGGGAGCATTTCACGCCGGTAACGCTGCGCTGAAGGTGAAGCGAGCCGAACAGCGGCATTTGAGAACCGCCAGACGAAAAACGTTGCTCAGTCGTGTTGGTGTAAGTTACGAAAGTGACTGCACTTGCTCGTGTCCGCCAGGTAGCGAGCGATTATCCAGAGGAGCAGCACCGAGAAGGCAGGTGCTGTCCATGCAACGCAGCAAATGGAAACACTCGGCAACTAAATTCACAACGCTAAGAAAAAAAGAAAAGCTCCGCCTTGCTGGACCCCGGATGGTTTAGAGCAGCCGCACAAACCGCCGCGGTTTCGCTGCAGAATGTGACGCCGACCCCTTTTTAGGCATACACGAGCACTCGAGGGTCCATTTTTGGATACGGGTTCCGAGGAGGTGACAGGATTCAGGATCGGGGGGAGGTTTAGAGCAGGTACACGCCCAGAAGGGTACGGTTTTGCTTCAGAATGTGGCCTGGACCGCCTTGGGCACTCAGGCACACTGGGCGGCTTAGAGCAGCCACACGAAAGGAACGGCGCTGTTTTGCTGCAGATCGTGACCCCGACCCCTTTGGGCACACACGAGCACTCGAGGGTCCGTTTTTTGATCCGGGTTCCGAGGAGGTGAACGGGTCGAGGATCGGGTGGAGGTTTAGAGCAGCCACACGAAAAGAATGGTGTTTTGCTGCAGAATGTGGTCCCGACCCCTGTGGGCACCAACCGAGCAAAAGTCCAACGATTTAGGGTAATTACTTTTACTATAGTACTCCTCTAGGTGGTACCTTCTGTGAGTAGTACTGGGCTCGAAATGCAGATGGAGGCCCCTTGCATTTCTCGCTTTATTGTAGGATCTACCTTGGGCAGGACGACGCGCACCAGGTGCGCGTTTGGTTTAGGGTTTAGGGTTTAGGGTTTGGGGTTTAGGGTTTGGGGTTTAGGGTTTAGGGTTTAGGGTTTGGGGTTTAGGGTTTAGGGTTTAGGGTTTAGGGTTTAGGTTTGGGGTTTAGGGTTTAGGGTTTGGGGTTTAGGGTTTAGGGTTTAGGGTTTAGGGTTTGGGGTTTGGGGTTAGGGTTTAGGGTTTAGGGTTTGGGGTTTGGGGTTAGGGTTTAGGGTTCTCGCCGGTTCCTGTTTAGGCTGTTTAGGTTTAGGGTTCGGTTATTTTTAATGCTCAGGGCTCTATACATGTAGGTAACTCCTAGGGTTAAGACCGAATAAACTCCGGCTTGCGGCGTGCATCTTGCGTGCCCAACTCTGGTACTGTTGCACAGGACAATCCTCCAGATGGCACGTAGAAGGCTTCCATGTTGAATCAAGACGATGGCTGCATTTGCAAAAGATGCTTGTATATGAAATGTGGAAATTTGGGCAGCGTGCGAGTGGAGGACATTCTGGGACACTTAAACTCGAAGGAGTCCCTCTCAGAAAAGTAACGATCCCAAAGGGTCCCATGTACTGTTATGGGGAATGCTTCCCCAAACCATAATAGCAATTCCTAGTATAGAAACCCTACATTCTACTATATCGGTAGTTTGGACCCTTTGGCGATCTCGGTGCTTCAGATAGAATGCCTTGTGCGGGCATACCGTCGGATCTGCATCTCTCACCCCTGTTGAAATCTCGTCTCAGGTTCTTCCGCATGCGACAAGCGTTTAATTGCCGAATTCTCGATTGCCTATCCTGGTCGCAAGTTGCGCCATGACAAGGTTGACATCACCGTTTTGCTGGAGAGGCGGGACAAAAATTGATACAGGGCCTTGATAATTGCCAATACTATTTGGGGTTACTTATTACAACTATATCATATTATATACCCCGAAACCCTATTCTAATTCTTCAGGCCGCTATAGTATACCTATATCCCCAAACCCTACAAAATAGTAGTTATGACCCCTTCATTAGAGAGTATAACCCGTAAAGCCGTAGGTTTTCGGATCCCCAGGTATAGCCTGGCATCTATAACCCTAAACCCTAAACCCTAAACCGTGGACCCTAAACCCTAAACCCTAAACCGTGGACCCTAAACCCTAAACCCTAAACCCTGGACCCTAAACCCTAAACCCTAAACCGTGGACCCTAAACCCTGAACCCCTAAACCGTGGACCCTAAACCCTAAACCCTAAACCCTGGACCCTAAACCCTAAACCCTAAACCGTGGACCCTAAACCCTGAACCCCTAAACCGTGGACCCTAAACCCTAAACCCTGGACCCTAAACCCTAAACCCTAAACCGTGGACCCTAAACCCTGAACCCCTAAACCGTGGACCCTAAACCCTAAACCCTGGACCCTAAACCCTAAACTAAACCCTTGATAAAGCCTGGGGTCCCAAGACTTATCCACACCTTTATGGCCCCTAAGCCCGAAAAGCTTGAACCCTAACCCTCCAAACCCAATCCCTAAGACTCCAAATAGCCCAGTAGGTTGAACCCTAACCCTCAAACCCAATCCCTAAGACTCCAAATAGCCCAAAGTAGGTAGTATTTATAGACTTTAGACCCCAAAGTAGGTAGTATTTGTGTACTTGGAGTCTTAGGGAATGGAGCCCGTTTAGAAATCTTGGAAAAGTTTTAAGAAACCGGCCTCAGGGAAACAGCCTCAAGTTCCCTAAACCCTTAAGTTTTTTAATTAAGCCCAAAAAACCCTATCTAGAGTAAGGATTAAGAAAGGGCTATGACCGTAAAAAACGGTACTTAATTTGTTTAAAGGTACGTTGTTTCCTCTAGGTAAGCACATTTATCGCGCGCCAGTACCTGGTCTTCGCCCTGCGCCTGGGTAGTGAGACGCACACAGCGAATGCCGATGCGATGTTCGGAAAGCTCGAGGCCAACTTGGCGCAGGACGGCTATTGCGGCAGTAACAGTCATTATGTGACAGAGAGTGTGTGTGTATGTATCTATGTGTTGCCATATTTCGTTTTCAGAAGAGTAGCTCTGATCACAGGAGAACCTTCATGACCAGGGCCATCCATGCATGAAACACGGTCAAACGCTTATACTGTAGCCCTAAACCCGATATTCCTGAATCCCTACACCCTAGGATCCCTAAACCCTAATCCCTAAACCCTGAACCCTATAATCCCTAAACCCCAAACCCTAATCCCTAAACCCCAAACCCTAATCCCTAAACCCCAAACCCTAATCCCTAAACCCCAAACCCTATATACACCCAGGAGCTTGCTCCTGCTCTGAACGTAGTCTTCATGCTTCGGACGCAGGTCAGCGATTCGGTCTGGGGGAGTCCTGGGCTTTACGGTAACCCTATGTGGTTTCAGGGACCTTATTATGGGGTCCTGAAGGGGTCTAGGGCCCTAACTGTCAGGTGCCTGGAGGGATAGGGTAAGATCTTAGGGCTTAGGGTTTCGATTTTAGGGGTTTGGGGTTTTAGGGGCTAGAGCTTTAGGGTTTCATAGTAGTTTCTGGCCCCTTTGCTAGAGGGCAGAACCCTTTAAACACTAGGTTTTGGGATCAGGGCTTTGGGGCTCGGGTGAAGGAGTTGGGGTTTGTTGGTTCACGTTTTGCGCACCTTTTCAAGCTTGAGGCGGTTTGCAGGGCATTTGCGGGCGGGGAGGGGCAGGGAATTCGTGGACATACTACCCTGAACCCTAAACCCTAATCCCTAAACACCCTTAATCCCAAATACTCCTAAACACCCTAAAACCTAAATAATCCCAAACACCCTAAACCCTAAATAATGCCGAAACACCCTAAACCCTAAGTAATTCCTAGACACCCTAAACCCGAATGCCAGGGGCCTAAAAGAAACACGATTTCTAGATCCGAGACTTTACGAGCTCGCAGGGTATTAGGGCTTTAGCAGCTCAGTGGAGACGGCCTGTTTAGGGTTTTGGGTTGAGGAAATATTAGGGTTTGGGGTTTAGGATTTTTGGGGTTAGGGTTTAGACCTAAACCGCAAAAGTAGGCAAATTCATGGCCCAATGCCTACAAAAGGCTATTATTCTACATACTTTAGCGGCCATACAGGGGAAAGCAGGCAAGGAGTTGCCCAGTTACAGTTGCCCCTGCCTCAAGAAGCTATCAGTAACTCACTAGCTTGTTTTAGTAATACTGTCATTGTTATCTCATGGGTTGGGCCTGGACTGCTTGGTCAGTGAAAGCGCTTTGGATTACTTCCGGGCCCTTTGTTTTGAGTTTTGAAGCTGATTCTGAGTCCTTTGTGAAAGCATGCCCTGACACGCTGCTACCCCAAAGTACTTATGGATTGGTACCGCCCATCCCAAACCTGTTTCCGATTGTTGAACCTACGAACCTAACCCGCACCTAAACCCTAAACCTTAACCCCAACACCCTAAACCCTCAACCCTGAACCATGAACCCTAACCCCTAAACTCCCTAAACCCTAAACCCTGATCCCTAAACCCTAACCCCTAAACCCTGATCCCTAAACCCTCATCCCTAAGCCCTAAACCCCAACTCGGAGGACTCCCGGAAGCCTCAAAGCTGAAGTCCTAAAGCCACGAAGCCCCGTAGCTGCTCAGCCTGAAACCTTCCATCCTGCACCATGCCCCAAAACCTAATATAGGGGCCTAAATAATCACTAACAGTTTTTTGGGGGGTTCCTTGTTAGAGTTATAGTATATTTGGCATAGCTTGGTTTGATCCCGGAGAGGAAGCATCAGAAACGGTTGCCACATCCAAGAATTGCAGCAGGCGCATCAATCGCATCCAAGCAGTGCTCAAGCCTGGTGGGGTGTAGGGGCAGCCATGCTCCGCGGCATCCCGAAGGCTGCAGCTGGAAGCTAAGAGCGCATGCATCGGAAATAGAATCAGTCGGAATGCGCGCGAACCTCTCCAGATACTATGAGAGGCTCCCAAGCCGAAGCCTGTGGGGCGGCAGGCCTCTCGAACAGCTTGGAACTTAACAGTCTTTACAGTTCCAAGAATCGCAATTCATCGAAACTACTATGAGCCCCAGTACGTGAGGCTCGTCGCACGCCGCCGATGTCTCCGTTGCTTGTGGGTCGGCAGGCTTCTCGAACAGCTTGGAACTTACGCCAAAACCCTATTCTAATTGCTAAGGCCC